ATTTCTCAATTCTGTTGTTTGTATATAAGCTAACATTGCTGCATGAGATTATACCATTTAAGCAATTTAAGTGCTTTGCAGACGAATATCAATTCATGCACAAATAAACTGAGCCCCAGATACGAGTCAGACACCACGCTGCATTCAGATTTATAAAAACCTCATTCAAATCACTATAACCGGCTATAACCCCAGATGAACTCGGGGGTCACATGTGAATTGTTCTAAAAGCAGAAATTTTAATGTATATCCAGTAGTTACATAGCATTTCATTGTCAGTGAAACAGTGGAAATCAATGATATCTATTTTCAGACAGATTAATTTCCAATTTAGATTATTCTATTTCCATATACAAGTATGTTATATAAATCACTTTTATTTCTTGTTCTGTATTTGTTCAAATCACAAACAAAACATTTTGGAGTCTATGAATAATTTTGCTGTGCCATGCTATGCACTGAATGTAGCCATGCTGGCAATAGATGTAACTATTCACTAGGAATGTATTCTCTTATTGTCTCCATAATTTATTAAGCATTTGTAGTTATATATATATATATATATATATACACACTATAGTTAACTATACTAATGCAAGACAAAATTTACAAACGCAGACAAGCCTGAAATTTTCACGCTGCATCTTTTTATGGCTGAACTGAAAACCAACCACTTAGGAAAAGATCATGCTTCCAGTTGCATGCTGTACCTATTCAAACTAGAATTGCAATCCACGTGATATAAATACATTTCAGTCACAATATACTGCCAACATGCATAGCAGCATGGTGTCGATAATAATTAGAAAGTGAAGTTTTCAAAAAAGTTGTGATAAAATAAAAAGTTCCCTTCTGGTATCCACCTTATTTTTTTTTCAATTTGCAGAAACGTGTTTATTTTTCGGACTAAAACAAAATGACTTTAATGAAGTATATTTAATACCATCAGAATTCTGAAATGATCCTCCCTCACGGCACACCATCTGTGACACTATAAGCAGGGCCTAACCACTAGCATGTTCAGGCCTGCATGCAGGCAAACAAATGTTTCCACTGTCAATGAATACCCTTTCCTAATGGGGCACAGAATACACATACATGATACAACAGTCCCACAGACACACAATAAATACACAAGATAGGGAATATGCACAAATATTTAATATTGCATCTCAATTACCGTATTTACTTTGATATGAGTAGAATCAATCTCTTGTAAAAATGTATATATAAAATAAAAAATGCCTTTGTTGTAAACTAAATCATTAAAATGAGACTTATTTTCACCATAGCAACATCTCTATAATTTAAATAAGTGCATGCTCTACTAATATCTAGCAAATACGGTACACAGTAAAACAGATTTGAACTGAACCTGGAATTTTTTTACTCCTTAGACAGAATGGTATAAAAAAAAAAAACGCAGCTGCTCTGGGCAAGTGTCCTGGTTTCAGTGTTCTAGGATTTGCTTACAGAAGCATAATAACATTATGAACAGTGAATTAAAGTTGTATACCATGTATGATTTTTAATACACCTATCAAATATTTCAGAATGCACTAATTTAATAACAGGACTACTGTATTAACAGTGCATGCACTTAAATGTGTGTATGGTCAAACAAATTCATATTTTAATAACCCAGTATGAATGCAATTTCTGGTGTATGCATGCTCCTATTGGAAATGCGCTTGTAATAGAGCAATTACGGTATAGGGCAGGCGGCACTACAAATATGAGCAAAGATTATTGGGGATTTAGAGGAAAGTATGAAAGATGCATTTCCCTTACTTTTTTTTGAATACTGTTGAGTTAGATAAATAATTTACTAAAAAATCGTATATAAAAATAAATAAATATGTAACCAATTATCTAGTACACAAAACAAGATTTACTTTTACTTCCAAATTCACCACTTTTAATTACCGCCAAAAATATACAATCTTAAAACTAGTACATTTAGTAATAAGATCCGAGATAGTACAGGTACGAACTAGCACACAATCCCTCAGGTTCTCTGCACACGTGGACACAAAACAAGGTCAGCCCAAAGAACAAAAGATGACAATGGTTTGGCAAAATGCCCGAGTAATTGTAACCCTGACTGAAAACTATGGTGCATTTTTTGAAACAGTCACTTTGAAACACAACTGGAAAATAAACTGAAGATTTCTACATGGTACCATCAATTAGTGAAGATGTAATTATATATGCGCATACATTTTATTGTCACAGTACAAAGATTATTTTATCATCAATTTTGGATAATCAGTATGAAAAGTAAAACAAATTGCAGCATTATGTAGTTATCCATGACGAGCAGCATTCCCTTGAAGCCAGGGGCACTACTCAAGACTAGGGACAACCCTAATCAATTTACCAATTACGCCTACACAGTCCAGGCATGAAAGAGTGCACAGCGCCTTGCAAATCAGAATTTGTTTACTGGTGGATCATCACATGGATTATGCATGTCGTTTCTAGAGAACCTAGACTGTTTGAACAAGGCGGGTGTCAATCCAACAAAAGTCTCGTCCACAGACATTGTCTGTTGTAAAGAACAAAAATATACAACCATCTGAAACAGATCTATGAGAAAGCATTTGATTACACGTAACAACCGGCGTCCCTGGATGTATGTATATGTTTATCCACTAATTACGACATGTGCCAGAGGACGGCAGCGTTGTACCATCCAACAATGATTCCTATCAATGGATTCGCCCAGACAGAGCTAAAGTGCAACCTGGCTTTGAGATAAATGTTATTGATTAACGTACACAACAATACTCACAATAACATTTGTTAAAGTTTGACACCTGGCTGCCATAATCACTATGGTGAATTTATTTGCAACCTGATTCATTTGCATGTGAATAGACAAGAATGTACAGGTACGCATTAAATCTAATGCATTACAAATGGCTTTTACTCAAGATGGAGCCAGTTGGGAATATTTGTCAAAATTGTAGCGTTACCAGTGGTACTGTAGCGCATCTCTAATATGAGCCTCTGTAAAGCAAATATTACATTTATCATAGACTGTGTCATTCAAATAATATTTTACTAAAAGAACAGATAAGGCATATACAAGGTCAACATGTGATGTAACATTGATTTAAGGCAGACTAGATGGAAATTGAAAGTCGTAGTTCAAAGGTCAGTAGTAAGATGAGGGATGATTATTCAGGCAATATAGATGGCCATGGCCAATTTTTATTGATTCAATACATGTAAACCAGTAGATTAATATTATGTCGTTTTCAGGAAAAAATAGCTGTGTAAATGCATTTAGATCAAAGTAGAATCTGACCCCAATATACCTTCTGAATTTAACTTTGATAGGACTGAGCCTCATCATGGCTGACCATGTCAATGATAACCCCATTCAAGGGCACACTGTCTTAGCTCAGCTCTTGAATAACGGGCAGATTTTCTGACTACATTCGGCCACAACCATAGTACAAGAGATAATCTCCGTTTAATTAGCAGGAGGAATCATAGTTACCAAGTTAGCCTCTGATAAAATGCTGCTGGTAAACCTAGCAAATAGAACAGATTTCCATGGTCTAACCAACTCAACTTGTACTCACATGTAGAACACTGAATTATCTTGAAGCATTGAGTACATATTATAATTAGATTAGTGGTACCCTTACAAATGTCTGACACGGCAATCAAAATACAGTGTACACGCACATGGCTACATTTAAAAATAGAATACATGTTATCAAGATTGTAACAGACACAGCCATGCAGTTTTGAAATCTAAGATTATCTAAGCTTTGCTTCATCTCACTGTATCTATGATTTATTTATACAAACCAAATCCAAAAACTGATTACTAGGGAGAACACGTGTAGCTAGCATTGAGTGCAATGGCAGTACATGTTTTTATGAGCATGCTGGATAAAAGGAGATGCCAAAAAAAAAAGATTCCGTTTTTACAACGATGGCTTGTGTGATAAGGAAATTATGCTGAAATGCATGGTAGAATGAGTTTACAACTTTTCAACTTTTCTGGCACTTCTAAAATACAAGTTTTATGTTTAAAATAAGAGGTACAGCACGTGTGGTTGTAAATTATGTCAACATCAATGAACAGGACACTGTGACCTTCATGCCTTTAAAAAAAAGAGGTAATAAAAAATACTCATGCCTCAAACTACACCAGGTTCACTATATTGGATATTTATACATCAATACATTGTTTGAACACAAATTGACGGTTGTACGATTTCAATTACAATTGTTAATCTCAGATCACGTGCGTGGAGATATCATTGTCACATGGTGGCAAGTGAACTTGGCCATAAACTGATTTGCATCGAACCCATTATACGATACATTTTGGAGAGGATTTTTTTTTTTTGGTCGTACATGGTGTAAATAATTATGAACAAATTGAATCATTCGGGTGTCATTGCCGAATTACACATATATTAATGATCGAGTAAGACGCGATTGCATGATTTGTGACCTTTAATTCAACCAGCGGTATGTAAATGTTGCCTACGCGTTCGATAGAAAAGGTCATTTGATTTTTTCAGAAGGGCAAAGATCGCCGTTTACAGAGTTCATGAAAACCGTTGTAACTAGATATGCAGACTGGAGTAACATAGCAGTAATCGGACGGTGAAAGCAGCTGAAGTCGCTGATATCATCAGTGATATTATTTACAAAAGCCGATTTGCCGGTTGTATGGAATTATTTTTCGGCTACGTGAAAAACTGGCACAGTCCCATGCAGTGTTATGCCGAACGATCACAAAAACCGAGATTTTCTGTTAGAAACAGTTCAAAGCAAAACACACTTATGAACACGTACCTATACAAATCTAATTTATATCACAATATATGGCAGTACCCTTCCAATTATTGTGTTTTTTTATTCGGGAAAAGGCTATTCATCATGCCGGTGTTTGCTACGTGCTCGCTCAGATGACTGAGGTCGCACTGGTGATTGACCTCACGGTTTCACGAAAAAATATTGACACTTACCGTCTGAGTTTGTACTTCCTATCCTATTTATCCCTTCTGGGGGTGTTCCCGGCTCATCTGATTTAATCTCAGTTTGGGAACTCTCTTCCGATCGCGAATTTTCCGTCTCAAAATCACCAGCCATCACTGTCATGTAAAGCTTAGCAAAGACGACTACACGTGTAAAGAATACATCCCTGACGCAAGAGGGCACCACGATCCATATATAGACATATTTTGCATATAACCAAATTAGGAAGTCTAACTTCCAAATTAGGCAAGAATGGCGTACACACCCCCATGCACAGCCAATACCCAACAAATAACCAAATGTGTTGATTTTGTGCCGGGTATTGTCAGTTTTCACTGCGTATAAGCATAAAATGAAAACAATGAACTTCCGTTCAGATGTTCTGTTTGTGTTCCAAGCTAAAATGGACGAACACATGGAATTGCATATATTCGCTGTTTGACTTCCCATTATTTCAGACATGCGTGTTATGTTATAAAGGTCAGAACGCTTCAGTTCGGCTTCTCAATGTTGTGTCAGTGGTCGGGTCAGTGGTAATGTGTACCCGGGTTTTGTATCAGACACAAATATGCCATACCGTGATACGCCGAGTTGACGCTCCACACGTGATGTAACGCCAAGAAAGGTGGCGTCATATTTATCATGTTATCTGTACATGTTATTTGACGAAATGAAATACGAGAACGTGATTAGAGAATGGTTATAAGCAACAATAAAGGGGAGGAACAACTAGATATTCCCTGTTTGGGGTGATGTTGCTAAATTATATTTTACTCAAAATATGTTTGTTTTTTTCTTTCAAGTTACGACGCAGTTCGCATACTTTGTTAGAGATAATTAACATTCACGTAAATACAGTGAAAATAAATATATATTTAATACATTACATTTGTGCCCACTAAATTATGAATATAAGGTCAGTTATCACGATCACGTGGTTGTCCGATCAGATGTCGCCGGAAAGTAAACAGTGGTAAATTACGATACTAGTAATTAAATTCGTTGTCAACAGGTGGAACACAAGTAGAAAAATTTGTAATTTCATTCTTTATTGCATCATTATTTAACATCAGTGCGGCCGGCCGCAATCAGAAAGTTGCGTGTTCCAGGTCAGGTACGAAACGTAATGACAGCGTCCTCTATGGACGAGAACCAAATAAAATGTACGTTCAAGCACAGTCCCTCCGTGGATAGAGGGGCTGTGGTTCAAGGTACATTGTAACGCACGCGTTCAAGGAACTTTGATTTATTAAAAACAGTGATTATTAAAACAGTGTGATGCAACAATACTGACTGCAGTCATTGTGACCCACATGCGAGATTTCATTCACAATCTTATCTGGATAGCGTGATCTTCCTATCTGTACGGGCATTACTCATAATAACGAACTGAATGATATGGAACGGTGACATGGATGACGTTGTACGCCTTTCATCACGTGCCTCAAAATACAGAATTAAATTTCACATGCAAACACTCAGATGTGATTATAACCCTGAAAGTTTACGTGGTCACAGCCGCTCAACTAAACTCCCATGTTTGCATAAAACGTCGCCCGAATCGACTTGTTTAGTACTGGGACCTGGTATGGGTGTAAACATAGGAATAGTGATGATGTAATAGCCGAACGGAACTTGGTTGGCGAAGATCACGTAAAAGCCCTCATTTTCGCCTGTGTTCAAGTTCAGTATGTATATATTTGGTCATATTCATATTCACAGGGTTTTTACTAATAATTCACTTGAATAATAAGTTTTGTTGTGAATTTGTTGCGAAACCCA